GCGACATTTATGAGCGTGACTTGCCGCTATACCGATGCCAAGAGTTAATGCTCCAATGGAGCCTCCATCGCGGGGCTTTTATGAACACTTGCGGCGAAGGTCATCATTAGACGGAGGCACTCGCACAGTGCGAGTCGCACTGACGCAGGACGGAGCCAAAATACATCGCCAAGCCAACCGGGATGGCCAAGAATAGATACTCAAAAAATTAACTATTATTTCTAAGAATTTGTTTAGGAATGTCCTACTTTCAGCCCTTATTTATGTCGCCAATTCGTAAAACTAGGTAAATTATTTCACGGAAATGAACACAGCCTACTACATGTACGACGTAGCCATAGTTGAGCATTGCCTGTAGATGCTAGCTGTAATGCAATAATTTATTGCGATATTTGGATATACTCAACTACCGGTATTTATTTGTACGGATATTCATATTTCTTCTCTCGTATTTTAAGTATCCGTGCGCGCGAGTGTTTATGGCGCTCCGACACCATGAAGCTTTGCAACGTGTCCGACATAACTTGCTCGTGAGAACCTGAAGCCATATACGATCGTCTTAACTCATTATCGGTTTCATTCGGTTCGCGGTGCACTTTTTGCCCGTGCGAAGTTGCCAATGACAAGTTGTTAATTTGCCATGTAGATAAGCATCGAGAAGTTTGGCTTGATGCTCTGGCAGAGACGCCACCGAACTCATGGGTTCTTTTTTCCTGATGGCTTGCTGAGAGACGTAGCCTGCGATGGTGGTGCTTTGCTGCGATATATTAGCACCTCTGGCGCTGATAACCCACCCTCAGCGCATTGCTAGAAAGCACGAAGCCCGCCCAGAACGCGGTGCCGAAAATATATATCTGCAAGATATATACACATCTGGTTAATAGTGCGCTATTGATATCCTCGATCTTGCGAGTGCAACAAGCTCTTCGTCTTCAGTTCCGAAACAGCACACTAACCTCAAGAAGCAGCCCGCGTACCCCCTCATTGAGGCCACAGGCGATTTATTTTGTGCGACAGCTTACGCTCATTACGCCACCCATCACGTGTATAGAGGCTGCCGCAGCTCACCGTTTGCGAGCCACAAGTCAAGCCCCCTGCTTCATCTTGGTGCAGTACCCAACGGCCCTCTTTGCGACATCGGGCTCATTCGTCAAAAGCCTTCGCGGCGAGCAAGCACGACCCCCGCTGACAAGCAAATCCAAGCAAAGTACTCCGGAAACTTCAACATCATGTCCGACACGAGCATCCATTTGCAGCGTCTGCAGCGCGTGTGTGAGACGACCAAGAACTCGCTCAACATCAGTACGCAGGTGGCGCTGGCCGGCGGCGTCGCTGCGCCTGCCACCATGTACCAAATGGACATATCCTTCCGTAGTACGCGCAACAAGTGGAGCATTGCCAAACGCTACTCGGAGTTCTACGCAGTACGCCAGCAACTACGCAAGTTCCTCAAGCAGTACAAGCAACATCTCGGAAGCGGCATTGACTGCCCGCCCCCACTACTGGCGCTGGACAAGACGCTTGAAGCTGCCTTCCCACGCCGTCATTTTCGCTGCGACAACAACATGATCATCGCTGAGCGTCGAACGGCACTCGAGGTATTCGTGCAGTCGCTAGTCAAGATCATCGCCAGTATCCCCATGACAGCTGATGTTTCTGGTACTAGTAATGCAGCAGCTACAGCTGAGGCCAAACAGTTACTGGCACTCTACTCGATCCTACGCGACTTCCTTGAGTACCCGGACAAGCAGATCGAAAGCGAGACCAAGCTCAAGTTGGCTGTATTGTCGCTTGAAGACGTAGTTGTGGACTCTCGGAGCAACTTACTCGAAGCAGTGGAGGGTCTAAGCACCAGTGACTGTTGCAGCATCTGCCTCGGCGAGTGGGATGACGAGGAATGCGTCGGCATGAATGTGGTCAAGCTACCGTGCTTACATGCCTTCCACGAGGAATGCCTGCTAGAATGGCTGCAGGGTAACACTCACTGTCCAATGTGCCGTGAGGAGCCCAGAACCACCGACTCGCGCGCTAGCATGGATGACAGTGCCACCTGCTGCCATGACCACGCCATCAAAGCGAATGCAGCAGCTTGTACGGACAGGCACACATTCGGCTAAGCTTGAGTGAAGAGTTACTAGCTAGATAGTGCCCCCATTGCTCATTTATTGCCAACGGAAAGTAATAGAACTTATTGTACTTACGCTATTTGCATTCCCACAGCTGTGGCAAC